TTGCAAAGCAACTTATTCCGCAACATTCTTTATTAAATTGCTTCGAAAAACCCGCTGTTTAGTATTTTTAAGAAAAAGAAAGTGAAAATAAATAACATAAAATACGAATATAATAATGTAATAATATGAATATAATACAAAATAATGCTCAAAAATTATAAAATAAAAATTATTAGTTTAATTTTTTCATTACTTCAATATAAATGAATATAAGGTAAAAATATTAAGAAACAAATTCAATTGCGAAATGATTTTAACAAATTTGAAATATATAAAAAACACAAATTTAGTTATTTATTAATTATATAATTTTTTAAATATAATATTTATTAAATATATAATTAAATAGTTTAATTAAATCCGCGTCACTTTTTAACACTTAAATTAACCAAAAGTAGTGAAAAATAAATCACTGTTATAAATGTTCATAACATTAGGTAAGAAAATTTTATTAACGATGTTGAAAAAGCAGCAAAAATCAAAATATAATAAAAATGCGCTGAAACTTTAAATAAAAAATATATAAAAATATAAATAAATATACGAAATTATATATCAAAATTTATATATAAATATGCAAATAAAAAATATATCAAAACAAACGCGTTGAAATTATTTTAAAAAATACAGCTTAAACCATCGAAATTGCTAGAAAATTCTAAAAATATTTTTAATTCTGTTGGAAAAATTGCGAAGATTAAAAAAAACGATAGAATGATAGAACAAATAGAAAATTCCCAAAAAAATTTGCCACCTTTTCGTAAATTATTTACAAGCGAGTGAGTTCCATCTTTTATTTTGGGGCATTTTGGGATGCGAAGTGTTTGTACTTGTTGCCTTTACCAATATTGAAACATTTTACAACATTCATGCTTCTATCAATTTAATCTGTAAATTTTTCCGGAAGTTCTATTAAAGACTGTAAATTTTGATTTTTTCCAGGATTACCAGTTGAATTTTTTTGCATATAGTTTACTAAGAATACTCTGCGTTTCGCTTGATTGCGCCATTTCTTCGCTCTCGACTTATCGATAACTTTTCATACATCTGAGCATCAGAAATCGTCGTAACGCTCGCAAATAGAAAGAAAGAAGAATCCTCCGTGGATGATTTTGTGCTTTTGAAGTTTCTTTTTTCAATAAGTTTAATCTTAGGCCTAAGCGATATTCTTCAATTCTCATTCTTGTTCTCATTTTATTCTTATCATTATACTAGCTGGCGTCTTGTTTTGTTGCGGAGGTGGGGAGGGTGGTGTTATATTTAAGTTTTCTAATTTTTTGTCAGATTTTTTATTTTGATTTTAATTAACGATCCTATCGATTTAATTATTCTCAATTTATTTATAATATAAATAATAGTTTATTTTCTTCTTCGATGGAAAAAAGAATGGATTCTACCACTGTCGACGATAGCATCGCTTGGAAGCGTCTTAGCCTTGTAGTTATTGTAGGCAGCCTAACCAGTAATGATGAGAGCTGATAGAAGAAGAATTTGTGCATAATTAACCGTAACAATAAAATATATAGAAACAGGTGCAATGTTTTTCTTTTTATCGCTTTTATAATCTTTTTTCCGATTTTTTTTGAAATTTCAGTTAGAAAAATTGAAAGAAAAACGTTAAAGATGCGATATATTTTTTCTCGCTCATATGTCGATTTATTTGAGCGTTGTCGCTATTTTGTCGTTACATTTAAGCGACATTTCCTTAATAATATTTCGATAATTTATTTAATAGTAGATATTTTACTGCACCATACGAATGCACTATACGTTATTTATTAACCTCTAACGTAAAGTAAGATAGTTTTTGCACTTTTAATGCACAGGGTATACCATTGTCTATTGGGGGTAATTCTTCATCTGCAACTCAGAGCCTATAAAAATAAATCAAATCCAAAATACGCATACTTCTCCAATTATGAACAAAGTAATTAATGTATTAGAATAGTTCAAGTTCATGGTCAATCATCGATTCGGACCTGTACACCGAGCTCGATCCTCAGGCATGCTTAGCCATATTTATATTGGAGATTCCAGGCGAAGCGATTGCAGAGCAACTTATTCCGCAATATTCTTTATTAAATTGCTTCGAAAAACCCGCTGTTTAGTATTTTAAGCAAAAGAAAGTGAAAATCACAATACATAACATGAAATGTGAATATAATACAAAATAATGCTCAAAAACTCTAAAATAATAATTATTAGTTTAATTTTTTTATTACTTCAGTATAAAGAAATATAATCTAAAAATATTAAGAAAAAAATTCAATTGCGAAATGATTTTAATAAATTTGAAATATATAGAAAACAAAATTTAATTAAATTATTTATTAATTACATAATTTTTTAAATGTAATATTTATTAAAATATAATTAAATAATTTAAGTTCGTGCAGCACTTCAATTAACCAAAAATAGCGATAAATAAATATTACATTAATAGTTATTAAATAAATATTAAAGTATAATCAATATAATAAATTTAAATAAATAGTGATAATCACTGTTATAAATGTTATAAATAGCTTGTTAATATACATGGGAACGCTATTCTCGATTTATCTGCTGGAAAAATGAATTTGATTTTTAATCAATGGTTGTAATGACGTTAATTGCACGTAACATCGAAATCTTTGCAAAACTAACGACTGTGCAATTTGAGAACGCAATGTAGACGAACCTGTGATTACTGCTTATATAAGATTCTCGCAAAAATTCCAACTAATTTTCTGTCTATTTTTTGTTTTAAGAATTCTCACCATTACTTGTTAAATTCATTCCGCTGGCCTGTCACCCTAAGCAAATATACCGGGGAATCTCTTTGGCGATAGAGGTGTATGTGAATTGCTGACATAGCCCTAATTTTTGAATATGTTTACTCCTGGGGGAACTGAACCTCAGCGCTTCTAATTGAGCAACAACCCACTGAATCTATTCCCAGTTTTTTAAATATTAAATGTCATAAATCCAAATGATATTATTATTAATAATATTGTTAAATGCATTACTATTGAATTTACTACTGAATTTAAATTTGTTGAACTTATGATGAGATTGAATCTATTCTAATTACTAAAAAAATCCAAAAAATTTAAGATCTCAATTATTAAATTATCATAAAAAACCATATTTGGTCTAATGAGATATATGCGAAGGAGAGATACAATTTAAAACACTGAGGTTAATAAACCAATCAAAGAACAAAAAATTGTTAATTCTATGTTTTATGTTATTAAAAAATTTTAATAGGCAACAAATTATAAAAATAAGATGTGTGGTGATAAATAAACGGCTTTTTCACGTGATAAATGAATGATAAATGATAAAAGAAAGAATACGAAATCGACTTTATTGACTTCGTTTTGACCAATCAAATCTTGCTTATCCAATTTTGCTAGTTTATAATAATTTATTACAAAGCAGTTTGATTTCATAAATTTGAAGTTTCTTTATTTTTACCTGGAACATTTATTAAATCTGGTACATTGAATATATTTGAATAAAAACATGTCAATTTTCTTTCAGTCATTTTTATTCTTTTTCGGTTCATAATATAGTAGCCGAAGAAAATGATCGTTGCATTAGTTCAGCAAGCTAAAAGGTAAAGCAGCCCACAAGCTTGATCCGAACCCATACCTGAAATCCTAAATCTACTTAGAAAACCTTTTATTATTTTTTTTGCTTTAATTAATACTTATTTGTTAATTTAACTGTTGTTATTAATATAAACACATGGCGTTTGTGCTTGGCTGATTTTCAATAAATAAATAAATAAATATTAAGAGCTTTCAGTGCCAATATTAGTGAAATTTAAGCAATTCTTTTATTACCGTGAGCGAGTATTCCATTTACTTCTATGCTATATTAGGTAGCGCGTAAATTTTTCTATTGTTCTCTAGTGGAAGAGCAAAATTAACATAAACGATGTTTTGTGGCGATATTTTTAATGCAGCTGGTATTCAATCGAGAATGAATGCAATCGTGTGAGACCAGTTAGCTGATATATAGGATATATCTTAGATAGGATATATCTTATGATCCGTACCGATAAGCTGATAAAATACGTATGAGTCGAATGATCTTCTCTGGAACACTGTTACGTTCCATCACCTTGCAAAACGCAATTACATCAATTGAATTAAATGCGAAGTACATGCAGTGATAAGTTGGAGATATTAGAAGCGAGGTTTCAACACCCTAACGCTAATATCTGGTCGAATCCTGGTCTAAATCCCTTTTGATTAAGGCGCATCCTACTATCCCTATGCCTACAGAAAACTTAAAATTGTTCTTGTTCGAGCTTTTCATACGAATAAATTTAGAAATTCGATCTGGTAGTAGCCTTTCACTATTGCATAATTTTGTTTCTATTGTATGAACTCGTTCTTGTATAATTATAGAAAATGGAATAAAATTTGTGAATTTTTAGTATATTTTTATTTAAAATTACAATTACCATCACAATTTTATTATTTAAAGATGAATTTCATAGCAATAAAAATTTCTATTTGAAATTTCTTATTAAATTTTTTTTCTTATTTTATTTATTAATTTTTTATTTTATTAATTTTATTTTTTTCTTGTTTTATTTGCTTTATTTATTTATTCTATTCTTATTAAATTTTATTTGTTTAAGTTCTTATAATTTTTATTTAATTTTTTTCATTCATATTGGAATGATTATCGAATTGTTCGTCTTCGATTCGTTTTCCGTTTCCTAAGAAAATATTAATGGAATTAAAACAAATATTTATAATTCTTTTAAAAATTATTGGAATAAATATTTTTGCGATATAATTTCTGTAACATCTGTAAATTTCATTTGAAAAATATTTAGATGAAACCAGGGAACTAATCGTTGAAGTAAATTATTTCCAATAATTCAAATTATATATTGTAAAAAGTTTTATTTAAATCTTTTATTAATAAATTAATAAAAGTTTTTCACAATTTGGCGCGAATCAAAGTCTGACGAGACAATATTGCCGTTTGAAAGCTCTTTATGGCTGACAATGGCCACAAGTTAAACGGCATTTACCTCTCATTACAGTTGCATAAGGTTCTATTGTGCAGTACTTTCTATTTTCTGAACATTGCTGGTCGTCGTCGCGACAATTTGATTGTGCTGCTGTTGCATTTTGGTTCTCTGAAATGCTAAATCCTTAGCAGCAATTTTTTGCTCTCTTACGGATTTTTATTATAGCAGATTTGGTCCATCGGCGGAAATCACCCCTAAGTTACGTGAAGTTTACCTAGACAAGTTCTTAGCCCGCATGTTTTTTGACAAGAATTCTTCGCTTTCTCATCGAGGCAAATCACCGGCGCTAGAGCTGTGCAAACTGCATCGTCAAATGTGTTTGGGCACATTCCGCCTGCTCCTGGTCGGTCACAAAGCCCGCATCTCATTGGGCACCTCATTAATGCTATTGTATTGAGAGCCGCATTTCTACACATCTCCAATGTGAAAGCATCACAGTGATTGCCCGCTGATGGACCTGTAATTTTTTGTTTTAGAGTCCAATATTAGTTAAACTCGCTCAGCTGTCTTGTCGCACTGGACAAATATGGCAGAGAGACCCTTAGCGATAGAATGACAGATGAGTCGGCAGCATCACCCTGATGGATCTTTAATGGATAAAGGAGGCGTTTTTCTTTTCATACCACTGAAATATTAATAAAAATTTATAATTTTAGAAGCGTTAAAAGAATTTTTTCACCATTAGCACAGTTGAATTGTTTTGCTTTACAGCAGAATGCGCAATGACTTGGGCAATTTTTTTCCGCAAAAGTTTTGAGAGCAACATCGGTGCATTTTTCTGGTATTTTGTAATCCTCGTTT